TATATATATATATATATATTATATATATATATATATATATATATATATATATATATATATATATATATATATATATATATATATATATATATATATATATATATATATATATATATATATTAGCGCTGTCAGTCTGATAAAAAAAATAATTACTCACACTTTTTTTGAAGATTAATCGCATTCAAAATACTGAAACTTGCAATTTTGGTTATTTAAATGTAAAATTAATGTAAACGCAAGACAAAAACTATTTAAATTCAAAATATAATTCATTATTAGAATTTTTGTTTAACTTGTAACACAGATTTCTTCATGTAAACAACATACCCACAATAAACCATCAAGATCCTGGCTTGACAGCCATATTTACAGAAATTAAACTCACCCCCACCGCTCTTCAGGTACGTCTCTTATCAGATACGTCGCTCACTCAACCCCTGACACAGACACACACGCAAACAGACACACACAACGCGCCAGAGCAACTTCTTTCAGATTCAACAAGCATGATCGCTCTGGATAGCCTGGTAAAGCGACATTAATTGTTTAATACTGAAACTTGCCTTCAAAAAGTGCTTCCTTGGTCTTATCCATATTTTTTTGGATGTTGAACACGTCCACCACAACAGGAAGGAAAACCTGCAACTGCGTTAATTGCTTAAATTTTGATAGCACTAATTTATATATATATATATATATATATATAAAAAGAGACTTTTTTTCACTGAAAAAGAGAAAATATCCAGTGAGCAGCAGTTCTGTGGGCACAAATCCCTTGTTGATGCCAGAGGACAGAGGAGAATGGCCAGACTGGTTCCAGCTGATAGAAAAGCAACAGTAACTCAAATAAGCACTCATTACAACCGAGGTCTGCAGAAGAGCATCTCTGAACACACAACACGTCCAACCTTGAGGCAGATGGGCTACAGCAGCAGAAGATCACACCGGGTGCCACTCCTGTCAGCTAAGAACAGGAAACTGAGGCTACAATTCACACAAGCTCACCACCATTGGAAAAATTAGAAAAATTATTGACTCACACTCATACTCACACAAACACACATTCATACACACACACACACTTTGAGTGTTTTTGAAGTTTGATTGATTGTTTGCTACCATAATCAACAGCAACTTCATCTTCTAGAAGCACTTGTGTCTCTGCTCTAAAAGATGATGCTGAAATGTTTTTAAGAGTTTTAAATTGTTTGAATGACTGTTTCTAATAATGGTTTACACTACACAGCATTGCTTGTTTACAAAAATATATATATATTAAATCAAACAAACATAATCCTGTTGCACTACTACACTTGATTTTGGTTTTATTGTAAAAAAGAAACAAGAAAACGTGTAAATTACTGTGTTAACTGAGAATCTGAAATATTTTATGGCTTATGGCTATGCTTTAGTATTCAAAAATGTTTTATTTTGAGTGGTTTTTTTAAATAAATTGCTCTTAAGGCTCTTCCTCACTGGGACGCTTTTCGTTTGCGTTTATCGTCAGCGTTTTACGAGATATTTTTCCGAATTCAAACCCAAGCGATTTTCACTGGCGTCAAGCAGAAGAGCATACAAAATCACTCCTTGACGTTAAATGGCGCTACACAACTTTAAGCTTCTGACACCCGCTTATAACACAGAAGAAGAGGAGGAGAGGAAGTTCACAGGCTTGTTGTTAAAGTTACTAGTGACTTGAACAAGCATGGATAGTTCAAGCAGCAGCTCCAGCTCTAGCGATGAAGAAATGATTATTGTTCACCAGAGCATTAAGCAGCTCCACGTTCATAACGCCTCTGGGCATCTTCTTCAATGTGCGCTCGCATTGACAGTTTTGCGGTTAAGCGCCTCCAAGTGCTGTTTACTGCTTCAGCAGCTCCGTGCACGTGAACTAAAGTGCCAATCTGATTGGTGGAGAAGTTTATACGAGGCGTGTCAAAACAAAAAAACGAGCATGAGGCGTTTTTTTTTTTTTTTAAATGACGCTTTTGCGCCTGCTATTTTGCGCGTTGGTGTGCACGATCACATTGACGCCCTTTATTTAGTCGCGAGGCGTTAAACGTCGATGGAAAACGCTAGCAAAAAATTTATCGGTGTGCACGGGCCTTTAAACTTCATATTTCCTGATTTTCATATGTGTTTTAATTCTGGTACTTTTGCCATAAACCGACATATCTAGCATTTGGCAGAGGCTGATATTTTGGAAAATATTGGATGTGTTGTTATATTGATTGTGTTAACTAGCAACATTAGGAGTTAAGAAATGCAATCCAAAATTTTTATTTTGCTTTTTTCTTGGTGTGGCAGTTACATGGTTAAAAACCGTAAATTTTAACATTTGAGCGCTGTTGAGCGCGTTCTTAAACAGCGCTGATTTGCCATATATTCACCAGTGCTCAATGGAAATACAGTGATTGGCCGTGAAGGTCATCAGTTCACCGCACTTCACTGATGCTTACCAAGTGCAAACACAGACGAGCGACCCATTGATGATCGCGCTTTAAAATGCTCCAGTGTTTGTGCATCTGTGTTTGCAACTAATGACCTTAACAGCCAATCACAGACATTTCTGTTGAGCACTGGTGAATTCATTCATTCATTTTCTTTTCGGCTTAGTCCCTTTATCAATCAGGGGTCACCACAGCAGAATGAATCGCCAACTTATCCAGCATATGTTTTATGCAGCGGATGCCCTTCTAGCTGCAACCCATCACTGGGAAACACCCAAACACACTCATTCACACACATACACTATGGACAATTCACCTGAACCGCATGTCTTTGGACTTGTGGAGGAAATCGGAGAACCTGGAGGAAACCCACGCCAACATAGGGAGAACATGCAAACTCCACCCAGAAATGCCAGCTGACCCAGCCGAAGCTCAAACTAGCAACCTTCTTGCTGTGAGGTGATCATGCTACCCACTGCGCCACCATGATGCCAACACTGGTGAATACTAGCAAATCAGCGCTGTTTATGAACGTTTGGACATTTTTAAAATATCAGTATCGTGACTGCATTGATTTATCGCTCACCGGGTTACATCGGCTGAAGCAGGGAAGCCCTCATGGAGGGAATGAAGCCTAGGAGGACACATAAGCTTTATTTATGATTTTGTTTGATGCCTAATGTGCTTTTAATTGATTAAATGAAACTGAACTGAATGATTTTTAAGCGATGTTTACACCACATCTGGGCTCTAACACCCCAGTATAGTGAAGGGGACTCTATATTGCTCAATGGCGCCCCATTAACATGGGGCTTCAGCGTTAGCGCTTGACAGAGGGCATGTCTGACACGATCATCATAGCAGTGTCAGCCAATAAAATTCAGCAATAGGCCACTGTCTGAGCTGGTGCATTTGCATACAGTGATCTGATTGGCTGATGATTCCGTCGGTGCTTGAAAAGTTAAGCAAGTCCCAACTTCTGCAGCAAGCAACACCTCTGAAGCGGCATCGGTCGGATTCACAATGCAGTTCGGCATCGTCTGACGTCACCTATTCAAAGTGAATGGGAAGCGTTAAAGCTGACGGCCTGGGTGTGAGTTCCGTCTTTCGGATGAGACTTTAAACCAAGGTACTGACTCTCTGTGGCCGTAGAAAATCCCTGGATGTCCTTCAAAAAGAAGTAGGGGTTTAACCCCGGCATCCTGGCCAAATTTGCCCACTTACATCTGTCCATCATGGCCTCCTAACCTTCACTATATCATAGTTGAATCGTCTTCCCGAATCAGCTACTGTGTGGTGTGCGGTTTGGCGCAAAATGGCTGCCGTTGCGTCATCCAACTGAATGCTGCACACTGGTGGTGGATGAGGCGATTCTCCCCAATGTGTAAAGTGCTTTGAGTGTCTACAAAAGCGCTGTGTACATGTAAGGAATTATTATTATTATGAAATAAGCATCGAAGCAGTGGCGCAGTAGGTAGTGCTGTCGCCTCACAGCAAGAAGGTTTTGCAAGAAGCAAGAATCGTTTGAGCCTCGGCTCAGTTGGCGTTTCTGTGTGGAGTTTGCATGTTCTCCCTGCGTTCGCGTGGGTTTCCTTCGGGTGCTCCGGTTTCCTCCACAGTCCAAAGACATGCGGTACAGATGAATTGGGTAAATTGTCCATAGTGTATGATTGTGTGTGTGGATGTTTCCCAGAGATGGGTTGCGGCTGGAAGGGCATCCGCTGTGTAAAAACTTGCTGGATATGTTGGCTGTTCATTCCGCTGTGGCAACCCTGGATTAATAAAGGGACTAAGCCGAAAAGAAAATGAATGAATTAATGAATAAAATAGGCGTTTGGTAATTCTAGTAGTAAAATAATTCTGGAACTACTAGAATTCTAGAACGACCATAGCGATCATTCTGACTGTTCTCATAGTCAACTCGAAAAAGCTCTGCATCAGGTTGCCTTACAATTTTAAGTTGAGTCAACTTTATTTTTTTGCAGTGTAGATTAATTAGGTTAACTAGGCAAGGTTGGTTAACTGGGCAGGGGATTGGCCAACTCACCTCCTTTATGAGCGCAGCCACGTGTAGAGCAGTGAGCGGGGTCTGCTCCGCCGGTTTGAGGACCACTGTGTTCCCGCAGGCCAGAGCCGGAGCGATCTTCCACATCAGCATCAGCAGAGGGAAATTCCACTGATAAACAACAAGACAAACAGTGCTTTAGAAAAGAAAAAAGAAACAACGAGACCATCCCTGACTAGTAAGAGTAGTAGAGTGTCCACTAAAAGAAACACCATTACAATCTTCCACCAGACTACACAAGCAACCATACAGTCTATCTAATGCCTAA